CCCTTCTGTGAGTCTTTTCTCTCCGACACTAGGCACTGGAGCGGGTCAACAGCAGGTACCACAGATTGACCAATCAGCAGATATAACATTATGTTTCCAAACAAACATGAAGGCCTCTTGATGCAAATTGATGCTCAGGTATGTTTTTATCAACGGCTCTGGAAGGTGTAAAGGCCCCTCGCCCTTGAACGTTTCCTCATGAGACACAGAACTTTTTCCGACAAGTGCTCCTTACCCCTTGGTAGAACCCTCTCCCTCCACGGTTGTACAGCATTCGAGCATCAGTTTCCACCACGGATGCATTGCTGTCTTTGAAGATGATGATGAAGGCTGTCCCAGAAAGGGAAGAAACGTGTCTGTCGGATTTCACTCTAACTGGCCGTGAACAAGTTGTTCCTGGAAGCGACCATCGGTATCAAATGGCCCGCGACTTCGCACCAGACTAAATTCAATTCGATAGGCGCACTGTTTCACAACCACAACAGGTTACTTGGCGTTAGACCCTTCGTGCAGGCTGATAAGAGAAAAGCAGTTCAGAAATATTCATATTCAGGCCAAAGTAAGACGCTGCTAAACGGAACGCCAGGGTTCATCAGCGTGATTCCACTGCAGAATGCAAAAATAAGTTATACGGATCTCCAAACAGCAGTTAATGGCTTTGAGCCGCTATACTACCTTCTACTGTATGGTGACTCAGAAGAACGAGATGGCTTAGTGGTTAGAGTGCGAATTTACTGACCACAACGTCCGTGGTTCGAACCCGACCTCTGCCTCTCGACTTCCCCTGTTTAGGCTTGGACAACCTGGCAGTATCCCAGCCCTTGTGCTTCCTTCGGGTGGCATGGCAGTTAGGCACCGAAAGTGTGCTACAGCTGAACGATAACTATTAGTTCAAACTCATTCGAGATAGCTGTGCAATGTTTAAATGTGTCGGAAGAGTCAAGCCTTCTTAAGGCAACCCACAGGGCTCCTCGGTTGACTGGGTCAAAGGCTTTGGTAGACACTCGATAAAACATTCCATTGGGAAGTCGGTTCCGTTCCCGATAATTCTCCTGGATTTGTAATGTGGCAAAAATGAATTCAGTGTTACTTCAACCGCTCCCAAATCCATACTGCTCTTCAACAGTGTTTTCCTTCCAAATGCCAGTGGGTAGCTCACCAAGCAGAATGCGAACCAGAAACTGACCGGAGACTAATGCTATATACTTCCTTTCTCTTCGTTCGGATCTTGTGGGGAATAGCTTCGATCTCCGAACCGTGCTTTGTCTGCGCTGATGGACAGCTCCCCTTGTTCTGCTATCATGAAGCTGGTCTATGGTCACCAATGTGCCTGGTTTATTGTGCATCGTGTCAGATGAGTCACATAGCTAAAATTCTCACCTTCTGGTGTTTCCAAGCCACACAGATCATCAAGCTTCTTGATTTATCCTGCACTTTTGTTCACCCTTTTGTCAGGTAAACATACTGAACTTCCAGTTGACAACCGTCTTTCATTCCGGAAGAAAACTCAGCCCGTCAATGGCTGAGTACAACCGGACCTCGCACTTCGTTTGGCCCACCGGTTATTCCTCGCTTTCCGCAGGTGTTCCAGGAACTTGGTTCTGGGGCTTCTGATTTGCTCTAAGACCAGCGTGTTCATCAGATTATTCCTCTGAATCAAGACACACGTTGAATTCATCCAACTATACTTGCCTCTGTCCTTGTTTCAGCCCGATGGCATCCGTGGTGGAGATTTGCATGCTTTACTATTCGGCTCAAGTGTCCTTTGGATATCCTAGAGAATCTATCGACCTTCGCGTCGGAGATTCGTGAAGTTTCGACGCAGTTTCCTGGTTCTTCGGTTTTCTCACACCTAGGTTGAATGAACTACTTCCCGGCCTACAACGTGACAGTTTCTCAAACGCAACACATGCTGCCGCAGACATCGGAGAGTGACCCCACTCATTACATTCGCGATCAATATTGCGCACAGTGCTTCGATCGGCCAGGTGCCTATGTCCACATGACAGGAGCAGATGGTACCACATTGAAAAACATGGTTGTTTAGAATGAATTCCAAATGGATTCACTACTTTCTTCTATGACG